TCCTCAAGGCCGCGTCTGTTTATGGGCGGACCCTAGAGATTTGCATTGGGGCCCCGCGGGGAGCCGCTTCCTGGTCAGGGGGCGACTCCCGCCCAGCGAGCCCAGGACCAGGCCCTGGCCGTGGCACATCCCGGACCGCGCTCTGGGGCCTTTCCAGGCTGTTGAGATCACTCCGGGGAAGGGGCCCAGTCGGCCGTGCGGAAGTCTGGAGACCCTCTCCGTCTTCCTGTTGCAGGGAGGGCGACCTGCATGCCGAGCGCAGCCCTTGCGCCATGGACCGCAGCCAGCCCAGCCTGGAGCCCGCGGCCATGGCCCCCGGCGCCCCCGGCCCGAGCGTGATCGCGCCCGTGCGCGCCGTGGTGCGACTGCGCCGCCGTGTGTGCCTCCTGCGCAAGCGACGCCTCCCGCCGCCGGGCCAGGCGCCGGACTCTGGGCCCCAGGCGCCGCGCGCGGAGCCTAACCAGCCGCGATTCTTCACCTTCGACGGCCCCGCCGAGCTGTCCTCGAGGACGCCGCGCAAGAGGCGCCGGCGCAGCCGCGTGGTGCTCTACCCGGAGACCTCACGCAAGTGCCGGCCGCGCGCGGAGCACCGGAGCCGCGCACAGTGCTGCCTGTTGTTGCTCGTGGCCATCGTGGGCTTCCAGGTGCTCAACGCCATCGAGAACCTAGACGATAACGCTCAGCGCTACGACCTGGACGGGCTGGAGAAGGCGCTGCAGCGCGCCGTGTTTGGCCAGCCGGCTGCCGTGGGGCGCATCGTGACGCTGCTGCGGGACTACCTGGCCACGCACGTGCACAGCCGCCCGCTGCTCCTGGCACTGCACGGGCCCAGCGGTGTGGGCAAGAGCCACGTGGGCCGCCTGCTGGCGCGCCACTTCCGCGCGGTGCTCGAGGATGGCGCGCTCGTACTGCAGTACCACGCGAAGCACCACTGCCCCGAGCCGCGCGCCGCGCAGGACTGCCGAGAGGAGCTGGCGCAGCTCGTGGCCGACGTGGTGGCGAGGGCCGAGGCGGAGGAGAAGACCCCGCTCTTGGTGCTCGACGAGGTGGAGCTCATGCCGTCGGCGCTGCTGGATGAGCTGCACGGCTTCCTGCAGCCGCAGCGCTCCCACCCCTTCCATAACGCCATCTATGTGCTGCTCAGCCGCACCGGGGGCGCGGAGATCACGCGCTTCGTGCTGCAGAACGCATCCCGGGCGCTGCCCCTGCGCCCCGACGGTGCCCACAGTGCCCAGGCCGCGGCGGCCGCGCGGGCCGAGGAGGAGCTGCGCGCCAGCCTGCAGGCGCTCCTGGTTCGCGAGCACCCGCTGTGGCAGGTGGCGGCCATTGTGCCCTTCCTGCTGCTGGACAAGCGGGACGTGGTCAACTGCTTCCGGGACGAGATGGCCGCGGAGGGCTTCTTCCCGGAGCAGGCCCGCGCCGAGCTCCTGGCGGCGCAACTTAGCTACCACCAAGTGGCGGGCCGCGAGTTCGCCGTCACTGGCTGCAAGCAGGTGGTGGCCAGGGTGAACCTCTTGTAGCACAGGCGCAGCTGGACACGGTGGACGCTAGCAGGACCAGGGGACGTTTGGGTTGATGGCGGCAGTAGGAGGGAGGGGACCCTGTGGACTTGCCCCAGGTCCCTGAATCCCCTAATAAATCTGTCGGTGGCCCCCTGGCTGGTTCACACTGGGACCTAGGGAAGCTGGTGGGGGTGGCTCTGAGCTCCCACTTCTAATTCCAGCTGCCTCAGAGCCCCCAGTCTGCCATCTCCGGTCTGATCCTTAACTCAGCACCTGCTGTGTGCCCCACATGGCAGGCACCCAGGAGGTGGGCAGCCTGACGCCACGGTACAGAGGATGAGTGACCTCAGAGAGGGTGCGCAGCTGCCAGGGTCACCCAGCTGATCCCCTTCAGAGCTAGATGTGACCTCGGCTCTGTGGGGTGCCTGCAGCAGCCATGGCATACACCAGCCCCGCCCCTGCTCACTGACTCACCTGGGGGCCCAAAGGCCTGGATGCTTCTCCATTGCCTGACCAGTGCGGACTGCCTGGATTTCTTGTGGCCTCTGGGCCAGGAGCTCCTGGAAGGCCATGAGGTGGATGGGTGTCTCCACTCAATGAGCTGATCCGGTGGAGTCTTCTGAATGCTCTGGAAGGGGGGACTCTCAGGGTAACAGTGGTAGGAGGTGGGTGGGGGGCCCTGAACTCTTGGATCCCCCTGTCTTAGCCACCAACCTGCTCCAGGGCACTGACCTGGGAGAGGTTATCTGAGTCGGGATCCCTTAGAAGGCTGCAGAGGTGAGGACTCCTGGCCCCCAGTGTTTCCCAGGGCTGAGGTGAGGGTCTCACCCTGGCGCCTTCCCAGTGGCCCGGCAGCCCCATCCCCCCGTCCACCCCATCCGCAGCAGTCGCGTTTCCGGGAGCCGGATGCCTGCGGAGCCCGCTGTCCGGGGCGGGGCGCGCGCGCGGCCGAAGCTCTGGGGGAAGGTGTTGCGGGCGCCTTTGCGCCTGGGCTCCCCAAGGGCGGCGGGATGGCCCCTGTGCTGCCGCCTGGTGGCCGGGGTCGCGGGGGCGTGTTCCGCGTCTCCCCGCCGCCCTCGCCGCGGGCCCAGCCCATTTGGGGCGGGGGGGGGGGGACCATGCACAGACGACAACTACGCGACACCAAATCCCAAGAGGGGCCGGGAGGGGGCGCCGCCGGGGTGCAGCGGGCCGTGCCGGGAGCTCGGGCCCCGGGCGCACGCGGTGAGGACGCGCGCGAGCTCGTACCGAGTGGACACGGCGTGAGCATGAGCGCCCTCCCCCACCACGAAGTCGCCCGGACCCCTGCTCTCGGAACCCTGCGCGACCACCTGGGCTGGTGTCCCTAGAGCCGCTCGCAGGCCGGCTCCCCGAGGGTCGGGCGCGGTCGGAGGCCCCTCCCCCGCCATCTCTTCTCGCCCCGGTGGTCGTCCGCGGACCTGCGCCGAGGTCTGTCCGAGGGAGACGGGACTTTTGTCCCCCGGCCCCGGGGATCTCTCGGACCGAGAGAAGCGGCTGGCGGCCGAGCCGCGCGCAGACCCGGGCGCAAGGCAGGAGGGGCGGGGAGGGGGCGCGTCCTGCCCGGAGAGGCCGGCACCTCCTGCCCGACGGCTCCTGGGGCGGAGCTGGCCGGGTCCGGGCGCCCCCGGACCAGGACCGTGTCGGCCCCGCTCAGCGCCCAGCCGCGTGCGGCGGCGGGGAAGGAACCCCACCCCCCCCGGGCCGAACGTGCGACGGGGGGGCCCCGGCCCTCCGTCCAGGCGCGTGTCTTGCCTCCGGGCGTGTGGCGGGACGGCACCTTGTCGACTAACACTGCCTTCTGGCTGTCCGGCTTGTTCTGCGCCTCTTTTGTCTTGCTTGTTTTGTGTGGCCCTCCCCATGGCCAGCCGCTGTCCTCCTTGACTGCTGGCAGTGAGACCCGTGCTCCGCCCTCACCGGGCAGGTAAAGCCTTTCGTCGCCGTCCAACGCAAGGGCGTTCTCATCAGGGCCTTCACCTCTGCCTTTTGTTCAGCCCCGCACTGCAGACATTATTATTCCGTTTAATTTGTGTTGACTTTCTATGAACCAGTTCCTCCTTTTCCAGGTGCCCTGTTATAACCAGGGCTCCGGTTCCGTCCTGCCTGGGACTGTCTCCGGGCCCTTTCTTCCCTTCCGTGGGTCAGTTTGTCTCCCTGGGGCTGTGCTGTCCCCGTGGCTACAGCCTCCGTCGGGAGGCGCCCTGAGAGCTGGCCTTCTTCTTGAAGAGTCACTTGGCTCTTCTCCGGCCTTTTTTCTTTGAACTTGATTTTGTCAGATTCTTTGAAAGACCTTTTAGGGTATGACTGGAATTGCATTGACTCTGCAGGTCAATTTGGGGACTATTGATCCCTTTACAAGACATTCATGAAGGCCCGATTTAATGTCTTTCAATAAGGCTTTGTAATTTTCTGCAGACAGGTCTTGCTCATCTTTGTTAGATTTATTCCTAGAAACCATAGAATTTTTGGTTGGTGTTATAAAGGCTTCCTGTTGTGTAATGTAACATAGATGGAGAAAAATGTATAAAGGAAAATATGGACATTCAATGTTTATGACAAAGCAAGCGCCCATGTGCTTACCATCCAGATCAGGAACCAGGACCTGGTCAGTCTCCCAGGAGGGAGTCCCTGCTGCTCACTGGCCTCCCTGTGCCTGCACTCCCCCACCCTGACCCCACCCCAGGGGAGAACTGCCCAACCTGCAAGATAATTCCCACCTTGTTTTCTTCACACTTCAACCACCTAACTTTACAACCCGAACCCGTCTAGTTTAGTTTGATTTTTTTGTTGTAGCTTCTTGATTCTTTATTTTTAAAAACAGCTTGTTGGAGGTGTCATTGACATACCACAAAATTTATGCATTTTAAGTGGACGATTTAATGATTTTTAGTAAACGTGCAGAGTTGTGCAAACACCACCACAATTTAGGTTTAGAATATTTCCTTCACCCTGGAAAGCTCTGCCCCACTCTTTTCCAGTGAATCCGTTTCCACCCCTTTCTCAGACAACTTGTCTCTACAGGTTTGCCTTTTTTTAAAAGCACTTCAGATCAGTGGAACATTTTGTAGCTTTTTGTTCTGACTCCTTTCACTCATCATAGTGTTTTTGAGGTTCACCCATGCCCAGGGACATGTCCCTAGTGGGTGCCCTTCTTTCTATCGCTACATAGTGTTCCACCAAATGACCCAAGACACTCCGTTTACCCATTCACCATTCAGTGGGCATTTTGGATTGTTTCCACTTTTCGGCTATTATGAATAAATGATGCAAGGGACATTTGCCAAAAATGTTTTTGTATGGACATATGTTTTCTTTTATCTTGAATAAATACCAAGGAGTGGAATTGCTGAGTCATATGAAAAACATTTTGTTTAATTTTTTGAGAAACTGCCAAACTGCTTTTCACAGTGGCTGCACCATCTGACCCTCCACCAGCAGCACATGAGGGTTTCTTTCCATCCCTCCTCATCCTCGCCAACGCTCATTATTGACAGTCCCTTTTATTATAGCCGTCCTGGGCGAGGAGTAGTTTTCTTTGGGTTACTGTCTTATTTGAGTTGTAGGAGGTCTTTATATCTTCTGGCTATAGGTCTTTTATCATATATACGATTTGCAAATATTTGCTACCAGTCTGTAGGTTGTTTTATAATTTTCATAATAAAAAAGTCTTTGAAGTGCAAAAGTTCTTAATTTTTATGAAGTCAAATTTATCAATTTTTTTCTTTCTTGTATCATACCTTTGATTTCATATCTAAGAACGCTTTGTTTAGTCCAAGATCAGGAGGATTTTTTCCTATGCTTTATTCTAAGTGGTTTTGTGGTTTTATGGTTTTAGTGCTTACACTTAGCTCTGTGAGCCATTTTGAACTAATTTTTGTGTATGATGTGAGAGGAGGGTCTAAATTAATCTTTTTGCATGTGAATATCCAGTTGTCCCAGAACCATTTGCTGAAAAGACTATCCTTTCTCTATTGAATTGCCCCACTGAGTTCAACCAGAGAGAAAGAATCAGTGGGAGATACATGTGAAGGGATTTAATACAGGAATCAGCTTATGAGATTGTAGGGGCTGGCTAGGCATTGCAGAAGTCATGGGGCTGAACTCTCTGGCATGAGCTACCCAGAGGTAGAGTTTCTTCTTCAGGGAGGCCTCAGCTGTGCCCGTCAGGCCTTTCAACGGATGAATGAGGCCCACCCAGGTCATGCAGCATAATTTCCTTTACTTAAGGTCGAATGATTATGGACTCTAATCTCATCTACAAAATGCCTTCACAGCAACACCTAGATTAGGATTTGGGGTTTTTTTTGCTGAGGAATATTCACCCTGAGCTAACATCTATTGTCAACCTTCTCTTTTTTCATGTCAGCTGCCACCACGGCATGACCGCTGACAGACGAGTGGTGCAGGTCCACACCCGGGAACTAAATCTGGGCCTCCAAAGCAGAGCCGGCTGAACTTAACCACTAGTTAGTTGATTGAATAACTGGGAGCTGTAGCCTAGCCAAGCTGACAGATAAAACTGTCCATCATAACACCCTTGTCAAAAATCAATTGGCCTCAACTGTGAGGGTTTACAGGCAGACCTTGGAGATACTGTGGGTTCAGTTCCAGACCACCGCAATGAAGCAAATATCGCAATGAAGTCAGTCACACGAATTTTTTGGTTTCCCAGTGCATATAAAAGTAATGTTTACACTACACTGTAGTCTGTTAAGTGTGCAATAGCATTATGTCTGAAAAAAAGTACATACCTTAAGTAAAAAATACTTTATTGCTAAAAAATGCTGACCATCATCGGAGCCTTCAGCAAGTTGTAATCTTTTTGCTGGGGGAGGGTCTTGCCTGGATGGTGATGGCTGCCGACTGATCAGGGTGGTGGTTGCTGAAGGTTGAGGGTGTGTGGCTCTTCCTTAAAATAAGACAACAATGAAGTTTGCCGCATGAAGTGACTCTTCTTTTCATGAACAATTTCCCTGTAGCATGTGATGCTGTTTGATAGCATTTTACCCACAGCAGAACTTCTTTCAAAATTGGAGTCACTCCTGTCAAACCCTGCCACTGCTTTATCAACTAAGTTTATGTCATACTCTAAATCCTTTGTTGTCATCTCAACAATTTTAACAGC